ACCTCGCGTCCCTTCTTCTATTTCGGATACTATTTTATACTTGTTATAGTCGAACAACCGAGAGTTCACTCGCCCCACTGTTTCGCGGAGCGTCAGCCTAGGCGTTCCCGCCAGCTAGCCCGGAGAAATGCGCGACAATTGCTTGACGAAGCCTTTGAGGAGTGGCGCCGGACCCTCTAAGATGCGGAACACGCGGGCCTGATTAGCGCAACTTCTAAACCCCGATCTCCATCCCCAGAAAAAGTCACCTTCGCCTCAAGCTTCTCCACCGCCCTCTCCTTCCTCCTCTGCTGCAACGCAGAAAATCTTTCCCGATACTCCTCCGCATTCCAACCCTTCACCTCCAATTCGCTCCCCTTCTCCCGCTCCTCTTTTCCCCCTTATAACTTTCCCGACATAGGAGATTGGCTAAACCCACCTTCTCCTTATGAAAATTTATTAATTCCCGGATCTCAATCTCCATCTATGATTCCGACGGCAATCCCCTCTCTCCCCCGTCTCCCCACGCCCGTTTCAGAAACGAAGAAGAATCTGAAACCTCGCCGTCCTCCACTCCTTCCTCTGATGATGACGAAGTCCAAATCATAGAGGATCCTCCATCCCCCGCACCCTCTACCTCATCTGATTCCTTCCTTTGCAAAATCATCGACGAAATACCGGCACCACGTTTCCGTTTTTATTTCAATTACGGAAATCATCGAACCTTAGAGTCGTTGTTTTCACAGTTTGACCAACTCACGACTCCTCTTCCCCGGGGAATCTTCACAATAGGCCCGGAGTTCTTTGACCGTGACGAAATCCGTTCGCACGTGAGAACTGGCCCCCGGAATTCATACATTCCCGTTTCCCTGCCGCACTCCCAATACCCATACAAGGTCCCTATCGAATTCTTCTATAATTTCTTCCCCCCTTCAACTGCAACCCTTTATGAGATCCACAATTAATCTTCATTTACACTCCCCCGTTATAATTTTATTGTTACATATCTGTGTACTAATCAATTTACATTGTAACTACATCACATTATATTAAATTTAATTTAATTCAATTTCGATATTCACACCTTGTCAATTATTTTCAGTTTCAAAATATTATTTATACCGATTCACTTCCCTCATTAACAATAATAAAAATAACGTAGCTGTGACAACATTTCTTTCTTGTATTGTACAAACTTCCATCAATCCTGACAACCAACTATGCCTTTATATACATTTACGCATACACTCCCGTTCGATAGCATTAGTTTAGCCTTGCGATTAAGAAACTAGTATTCTGTATCTTTAGCTTTAAAAATAAACTATGATTTTGTTAATTTAAATATTGTATTTCTTTAAAGACCTTCACCCCCATTCATTGCTTGCCTAACCGAGAGACGCGCTTGGTCCGATCCCAGGTCATAAGGATTAAGTTCCTTGACCTAAAACAAGACCAACGAACGCGCTGGTTCAATAAACGCAGTAATAGTGTCCTTTTAAGAACATTGACTCGTTTTCGAACTTTTGCAAAGCGCCTTCGACTCGCATCGTGCGCCTCTGTGTGTACCTGCGAGATAGCTTACTTAGTTATGTCCTTCCTTACCCCCTCCACTTCCAATTCCATCTCGTTCACGCACGAGACTCACTCTCTCTATCTACAAGTCCAAACAAATATCCTGGGGTTTGGACGTAACAGTCATTTATTCTAGTTTTGATAAACAATGTTTTATTTTAACAGTTAAAAGAAACGATGATTTTATTTTTTTAATATTATATAAATTAAAAAAAGTTTATTATAGTATAATGTTACATAAAGTTTGTTTATTAAAAAAAGAATGCGATAAAGATAGTCAATAAGTATTGCCAAATAATTAAAAATATTAAAATATTTATTCTGGTTATATCTAGTTTTAATATTTAAAAATGTTTTTTAAAGTTTGAAGAAAAAATTATATTTTTTAAATGTTAAGTGAAGTTGATTGTTACACGAAAAAAGAATGTGATAAAGAAAACAGTCAATCGCTTAAGAGAATTATAAAATAATATAAAGTTATAAAATATTAGTTTTAAGAAAGGTTTCTATTTTTATAAAATGTAAAGAAAGTTTATATTCAGTCAATATAGTTATATAAGTGAATAATCAAGTTTCATTTTTTAAATTACAAAATGATCTTTTTACAAATCCTAAATATCCATAATTTTACATTTTCATAAATTTTGAATCACTGAGAATTGGTGAAGACATATTAATTGTCGCAAAAATAATTATAAAAATATCTTCTAGAATAGGCACCAATGCCACAGGCATTACTGATCCAAGAATTTTAAAAGTCTTGATACACTGGTTGGATCTTTCAACGTGGACTCGAGCTTTAGCTATTTTAGCTGTTAAAATAGATTCTTCTTTACTAAACTGGTTTTTATCTTTTAAAAACGGAGGTCTTACACATTTCCAGCGATTTATTTGACACACTTCATCAATTAAGAATCCTCGATCAACCATTATTGCATCGCCAGGTTCTAGTAAGTGAATCAGATCACTTTGCTGAAATATTGATGAATCCGTTGCTTGTCCTCCATAAGATTTGCTGACAAATGTTATATTACCTGCTGGTGAAACACCGGTCACAATTTTACATGTTTGTGCACTTTTATAATAAGAGTAGGTTAGAATCTGGCAACAAAGTTCTGCAGGTCTTTGAATGAACACTTCTGTACAGTCCAAAACTACTCGAACATCCTCAAAAGATTCAAAACACTCAGGAATGTTTCTGCGTATCTCCTCTCTTAATGGCCATGGTATCGCTGCTTTCAAACAAATGCTTAACATCTTCACTGTGTTATAAAATATGCGTTGGCAATGTTTCGCTGAGTAACACTTAAATATTAACGCTAGGAAACTATAAGATAAATTTTGCTTTAATTTAATAAATGTCTTTATTATTTTTTCTTTTAAAGTCATTTTCATGTTTGTTTCTTTATCACTATTGACATAAGCTACTATTTTTAAAATTGTATTAAGCACTTGAAAAGATTTTATACCTGTTGCAGTACTTAATTCACTATCAATTCGGTCTTCAAGTAAATTTCAAAATTGCTAAATTCGCTTAATTTATCGAAATATAAACGTTATAAATTATATCCGTAAAAATGAAATTGTTTAATTTGTTTGTATTTATTTATAAATCAAGTTTAAAATTTCATGAAAATTTAAACGGAAGAAAACGCTCCATTATCGTTTGTATGACGTCGCAAGGTTGTTCCGTCTTCGCGCGTAT